ATCCGGAACCCTATTTAGTTCGAGGGAACAGAAAGCTAAAGTATTCTTCTATCCTTGGAAACGATCTCCTTCTCAGTTGTTAAAATAGGTTTTACCTTGATGAGGAGTTTTAAAAAACTAGGACAAAAAAGGGCGTAAGCGTGATGTCATCTAACAGACATGACACAAATAGTATTCAAGTTTACATTAAATCAATTATATTTAAAGGATAATATACAAAGGTACATTTGTCGATTTTGAATCAGTAGATCATTGGAAAAGTTAAAGAATTTTTGTTAATCCAGAATCTGGGAAGGTGTGAGTATGCTATCAATGTTCTGGTTTGCTGTTCAGAGGGTACAGATAAGTCAGATACATCAGGTATCGGCATTGGATGCAGTGGATTGTAGGGGGTATTTTCACACTTACGGACAGTTAAACCTAGTTAGGAAGTTCTCAACCTGTAAAAGCACTTAGGACTCTCCAACCTACACTTAAGGTGAACTCCGTAGTGCGTTCTATAAGATGAAAGCGTGTTGATGAGCGTAAAGTGGTTGCAATGACGATAAAGTCAATCATTGGTCATGTTGGCTTATTTGAAATGATGAATGGCCCAAACATTTCAATCCCATGTTGATTAAATTTCATAACATCATAAAAAACAACAACATGACCAATTAATTAAATGTATCATTATTTTACCTTTTAAGACTATTATTTACAGTCTTCCTTAGTCATTTTTTACCCACCAATAGATTCCATTTTACGAAATAACATCATTATTGCATCTTACTTGGACTCCCTCAGCTCGGTTCGTCAAACCTATCAGTGTAGGATAATCTGATGGGTTTATGAATATTATATTTTACTTGTACTAAAATGGAATCAAAAAATCAACTAGGATGCCACAGGGTTAACATTTAAAAAAATAATTGATTCACAATAAATTCAGAGCTTTTAATAATGTATAGTTTGGTTAAAAACCGCTAAAATCAGCTATTTCCTGAGCTATTTTTTTATGTGGATTTGGGAAATTGTTAAGTACCTCGAGTCTGAATTCAGGTTACACTGGTATTCTTTCCTACTCAATCAAGAAGCTGCAATCGCCCCTTCCCCTCCCATTCTTCTGATCTCCTTCCAACAAATCTTGTGTCATATCATGAGGTAAAACAATACAATTGACTTTTCTGATGTAGTAGAATCTTGATAATTTGAATTTCATTAACAGGACTTGCAGAGTATAAATATGAAATCGAATTACCATCTCAGGGGGGTAGGGGCGCCAAATCGATGTTTAAGTAGACAATTGAAAAACTTAACTAAGTACTAGCAAAAAACTGCATTTTATAAATCTTTTACTCCACTGAGATATGAATAAATTAATTTTTTAATTTTGTTGTTATTCATGATTAAATATTTGATAAATTATTACTCTTAGAATTTGATGGGAAATAGGTACTGTATATTTTTCCATGTAGTGCATGATACTTTGATATTACAATAGTTTGATGATGTTTTTTTCCATAATTTTTATTTTACTTTTTCGTTGCATGTTTCTGCTCTATATCTAAGAACAATTTATTACTATATGATCACAATGACCTAATCATAAAAGTAAAAATGTTAAGATAAGTTAGATAGAAGTTAGTAGTATAAAGTATTGGAAAAAAGTTGTAATAGTAGAGTGTAGAAGTTAGTATTTATAGTAGGGAGGATAGTATAGTTGAAGTATTTAGAGAGTTTAGAGTGTAGTGTAGATAGTATAGTTTTATTTTGTGTAGTAGTTTTTAAGTAGAGTAGTAGTTTCCCCAAACCCTCGGGGTTTTACTCTAAAAAATACAAATACTAAAACTAAAAACTATACTACTCTACAAAAATATACTACTATTTTTAGTAGGTAGTAAGTAGTAGTAGGTTTTTAAATGTAAGTGTAGTTGTAGTAGTAGTAGTAGTAGTAGTAGTAGTAGTAGTAGTAGTAGTAGTAGTAGTAGTAGTAGTAGTAGTAGTAGTAGTAGTAGTAGTAGTAGTAGTAGTAGTAGTAGTAGTAGTAGTAGTAGTAGTAGTAGTAGTAGTAGTAGTAGTAGTAGTAGTAGTAGTAGTAGTAGTAGTAGTAGTAGTAGTAGTAGTAGTAGTAGTAGTAGTAGTAGTAGTAGTAGTAGTAGTAGTAGTAGTAGTAGTAGTAGTAGTAGTAGTAGTAGTAGTAGTAGTAGTAGTAGTAGTAGTAGTAGTAGTAGTAGTAGTAGTAGTAGTAGTAGTAGTAGTAGTAGTAGTAGTAGTAGTAGTAGTAGTAGTAGTAGTAGTAGTAGTAGTAGTAGTAGTTTGCCAACCCATCGCGGGTAGTAGTAGTAGTAGTAGTAGTAGTAGTAGTAGTAGTAGTAGTAGTAGTAGTAGTAGTAATAGTAGTAGTAGTAGTAGTAGTAGTAGTAGTAGTAGTAGTAGTAGTAGTAGTAGTAGTAGTAGTAGTAGTAGTAGTAGTAGTAGTAGTAGTAGTAAACCCGCGATGGGTTGGCATGTGCCTCAATAGGATATTAGTATTACAAACATTTATTATATCAAATTCAATCTACACTAGAGGAAACATAATCTATATTATATCAACTATATTATCTCCCCACTAAACTCTTGTTATGTTTATTAGATAAAAAATCGTAATAACAGTATTCTCATACTATCAAAGCGGTAGAAATCCAAGTATTTTTATTACGCGGTGCGCAAGGAATTTCGTTTAACAAAATGTGTAGGTATAGTAAGATAAGTGTGGCAGTGAAAGTTGAAAAATAAATTGCTGTGGCTGACTGTTAAATGCATTATCGCAGTTCATTTATTTGACTGCACTAACGTTTAGGATTCTTACAGCTATTATATTTTGCTAGTATTTTGTTTAAAAGTTGTAAAGGACAAAGTTTTTGTCTGTCCACGAAATTTTGTTTACGTCAAGTTTTTGTTTATCGAGTAAGTAACGTACAGTGTTGTCCTTAAATGAATTAATGAACTTATCTTGTAACTTAGGTACGTTAAAGGGAAGGATTTTATTTGTTTCGTTTATCGTGTTGTTATATAATCGTGGTCCTACGTTAAAGATGCTATAATCGGTGATACGTAATCTGTTGAACTTAATTTCAAAATACTGTGGATTTCTCCTTTCCGTTTGTCTAAGCGGTGACTTTTCAAATATTCTTCAGATACTTGATGGTGCTACTCCCATATAAACCTTGTGCATCAAAGTTAGACAGCTTTTAGCAATGAGATTAGGAAGAGCCAAAATTCTTATTTTGTTGAAGATGGATTTTGTGTGAGATGGCAGTTTACGTTTTTTTGTTGTAAAAATAGTTATGATATTCTGAATCAGTAGCGCGAATAGCTTTCTTTTGAGCAGAGAATAAAGACTGAATGGAATTTAATATCCTTGATGAAAACCAATTTGGCTTCTGCAATTCCTATTCTACTAGCCATGCTGTTAACTACTCTGTTAGGATTATTAAAGAGAGCATAAAAAACGATACCATGTTCTAGGAATATTTATAGATTTGAGAAAAGCATTTGATACAATCGACCATAGTACACTCCTAACAAAACTAGATAGGTATGGAATAAGAGGCAATGCAACCTGTCTTATTAAAAGCTACTATCGAATAGAACACAGTACACAATGAAAAATCCGAAAACCTTATCATTAAATATGGAGTTCCACAAGGCTCTGTTTTGGGACCGCTCCTTTTTCTTCTATACATAAATGATACTGCCAATTCCTCAGGTTTAGGAACTTTCATACTATTTGCTGACGACACCAACATTTTTATTAATGGCAAAACTGTAGAAAAAGCTTATGAGAAAGGCAACAAATTGCTAAGCTGTATAAAAAAAGTATATGATCCTTAACAAACTACACATCAACATGTCAAAGTGCTGATATTTGCATTTTAAACCAAAGGCTAGTAAACCAGTAGAATTTCCAGATTCGCTTCAACTCCATATTGTTGGCTTTCCACCCGATCTAAAACCAAATTTCGACGCACATAAAACATTATGTGATTTTAGGTGCTTTACTAAACGTGCATGCATTACCTTTTCAAATATCTTTGAGAAACAGGACAAAAGCGAGATTGGTCTGTAGTTTGTAATTTCGCTGCGCGATCCCCCTTTATGGAATGGGATAACCTTAGCAAGTTTGAGCTTTTCAGGGAATACTCCTTCGTGAAGGGAGTGTGTCAGTGTGAGATCAGGTGATTAACTACTGAAGACAGTACATTGCAAACCTTTTTAAGAGGCTGCAGTTCATATCTGAAGTCGATTTGCTCTTAGGTCATGTACGATTTCAGCGATTTCAGAGGGTGAGGAGTCCTCCAGCTCTATATAAAACTCGCATCGACTAGATTGAGGAAGAGAATGTCCTACTGATCCTGCACCACGAACCAAATTGTTTTTGCTCTTAAAGTTCTCAGCTATATTAGTAAAATAATCATTAAAACTGTCAGCTATATCTTGTGAGTCGGTTATAACTCTGCTTTTATAGTTAATCTTACTAATTTTTCTGTTTCCTTTGATTTCTTGTTTGATATTTGATTAATCATTTGCCATTGTAATTTCCTATTGCTTGCATGCTTTTTAAAATATGACGCGTAATACTTTTTTTTCGCAATTTCTACTTGTTTTTCGACAAACTTTTTCATATGCTTATAAGTTCTTTCATTGTCATCAGTAGGCTCTTTTACAAAGGTTTTATATAGTTGGTTCTTTCGATTGCATGCGCATTGAAGCCAATCTAATATCCACGGTATAGAGTTTTTTCTGTGGTTTGATTTTCTCTTTCTTACTGGAAAACACTCAATATAGACTTCTTCATATTAAGTTTGAAAAGCTTCAAATTTTGTATTTGTCCCGTCGACATTTTGTAAAAAATTCCAATCAATAGACGCTATTTTCTCCTCAAAACGAGCAATTTTTTTTTTTCATTAATTACTCGGTTTGATAATTCACAAGTGTCATTCACAAGTGAGTTTAAAAGAATCAAATTATTTCAGCCGTCGTTCCGGAGACTCCTAAAAAAGCCACCACCGCTGTGGCTCAGACATTGACTTGTGATATCGGAGATGTGGTTACAAGTGTCACTGTGTCGTGGACGGATCATGCTGGGGCTGCTATAACAAGTGGTAGTGGAGGGTACACCATCGCACAGGGAACAGCTGACCCTGGTACCAAAATTCAGAAATCAACTCTGACCATTGATGCTGCCACTCTTCCAAGTGTAGCTGGAGCAGGAAATCCCGCGACATACAAATGTGCTGCGGAATATGTAGAATATCTGGATTCAGCAACATCTACCTTCAAAGACATTGTTGTCAACTTCCTTACTTTCGGTAAGTTTCTTAGGACTTGGTGGGTATTTATAACTGCCCATAAATGATGCTCTGCTGTTTTAACTCTATATCTAAGATACCTTGTTACATCCTACTGTTAAAACAAAATTAAACTCATCATAGGATCCAGTGAATTTAGTTGATAAAGTTCAATGATTCAGTTCCTGTACAATACTGTTGATATTTTTTATTGCGGGCTTATTTTAAATGACTGATTGTTTCAGGTGTAGAAGCTAAGGGTAGCGAAGTGCTGGCAAACACAGAAGCTACAATATCTTGTGTAGTAAGTGGTTTGAGTAAGCAGCTGGAGGCGGTAACATGGAAGAAACCTAGTTCGGGTGGTGTTATAACTGACGGTATTGACAGCTATGCTATTGTCCTTGGAACTTACGATCTTGGCACCAACATTCAAACTACAATTCTGACCGTACCTGCTGCTGAAAACACGGCTGATGCTGTTTTCACCTGTGTCATTACATCTGACGAGCATGCAATAACATCAGAAGAGACTCCTGTCAACTCGAACGTTTTCAGTGAGTAATCTTGATACATTTTGAGAACCACAATGTGTATAACGAGGTCTTATTCGAATTTTGCAGCAGTAATCTTTCTTAATTTAGGCTATTTTAGTTACAACTACATGTAATGAATGATACTTTAACATACCAAATGTTTTGTGAGTTTGAAAGAATCAAATTATTTCAGCCGTCGATCCGGAGACTCCTAAAAAAGCCACCATCGCTGTGGCTCAGACATTGAATTGTGATATCGGAGATGTGGCTGCAGATGTGGCTGTGTCGTGGAAGGATCATGCTGGGGTTGCTATAACAAGTGGTACTGGAGGGTACACCATCGCACAGGGAACAGCTGATTCTGCTGGTGACGGAATTCAGAAATCAACTCTGACCATTGATGTTGCCACTCTTACAAGTGTAGCTGGAGCTGCAAATCCCGCGACATACAAATGTGCTGCGGTATCTGCAGTCTATCCGGATTCAGCAACATCTACTTTCAAAGACATTGTTGTCGACTTCCTTACTTTCGGTAAGTTTCTTAGGACTTGGTGGGTATTTATAACTGCCCATAAATGATGCTCTGCTGTTTTAACTTTATATCTAAGATAACTTGTTACATCCTACTGTTAAAATAAAATTAAACTCATCATAGGATCCAGTGAATTTAGTTGAGAAAGTTCAATGATTCAGTTCCTGTACAATACTGTTGATATTTTTTATTGCGGGCTTATTTTAAATGACTGATTGTTTCAGGTGTAGAAGCTAAGGGTAGCGAAGTGCTGGCAAACACAGAAGCTACAATATCTTGTGTAGTAAGTGGTTTGAGTAAGCAGCTGGAGGCGGTAACATGGAAGAAACCTAGTTCGGGTGGTGTTATAACTGGCGGTATTGACAGCTATGCTATTGAGCTTGGAACGTACGATCTTGGCACCAACATTCAAACTACAATTCTGACCGTACCTGCTGCTGAAAACACGGCTGATGCTGTTTTCACCTGTGTCATTACATCTGACGAGCATGCAATAACATCAGAAGAGACTCCTGTCAACTCGAACGTTTTCAGTGAGTAATCTTGATACATTTTGAGAACCACAATGTGTATAACGAGGTCTTATTCGAATTTTGCAGCAGTAATCTTTCTTAATTTAGGCTTTTTTTAAATTCTTTTTTAAGAGAGGTTGGGCCAAGATAGCCCACGAGAGGATAGCATTGAGATGCTCTGCCTACCTCTGGGGTGGACAAAAAACACTTGAAAACATGAGTAACTTTTCTTCTGATCAGTAGACCCGGGTAAACAAATTATAGCCATCTTCAAAAGAATAAAAAGTCTGGATGATTTATTAACATATTATACATCTCTCAGCTGTATTGTCAGTGACTAAGTCAGTCATTACTAGTAAGGATCAGACTTTGACCTGTACAGTAGGAGAACTAGACGTAGGTGGAACCCCTGTTAATGTAGTCTGGAAGGCTCCTGATGGTACGACTGTATCTGTCTCGGATATTACGAACTACGATGTCAGCAACGGTACAGTCGATGGAACCGGCATACAGGTGGCAGAACTCACCATCAAGGCTACCAAGCTTGCTGATTTTGCTAACCAGTCAACATTCACATACAAGTGCTCGGTAACATCAACACAGTACCCAAACTCACCTGTAACTACCTTCGGAGTTGTGGTCAACGTTCTAGGTGATTGAATAAAGAATAATGTTCTGCAAAAGTTTAAGGACAATTATTTGTGTATGGTCTTGTTTCCATAATATTTTGATTCCCTTTTAGCTAGTAGTCTTCTTATACGTTGCAGTAAACATACAACTGCGATAGTTTGATTCGCCCTTGAAGATGTTTGAGCTCACATAAAAATAACTTTGACGGTCTCTTGTAATAAAACATACAACTTTCGTTGTATGGATTGTAAAATTAGAATTTATTTTTGATTCATGAGTAAGTCGCTACAAAGTGTATATATCTAAAATACTTTGAACTGTGGAAGCATTTTTTACCTTTAATCGTATTTTCCCTTTCAGCACCTTGTAGCGTGCCCGTTATCGAACAAGGCATCATATCTCCATATTCGACGATTGATTCAGGCTCAACATACGAAATAAGGTGCGACAGCGGGTTTGTCATAATTGGACCGTCCTCGATGGTGTGCACTAACGGCACCCTATCTGAATCCCCATCTTGTCCACCAGGTTAATCTACTAAATATGACTTGGAGATATTATGGTTTCCAAATGAAATTATCATTGATAAGGATTAAATTTCAATCGGGTTATCCTCAGTACTTGTTATTACACATTGAGAAATATTTTCCAAATTTCTGACTGCATATTTACCAACAGGGATTGGAAATTAATTTCTTTCTTTTGTCTGTGATAATTTATATTTTGTTGTCTTCAGTGGCTACCGTAACTTGTGATGAATACGGAATAAAGTTGATCATTACTGAGAAAATTAGTTTTGATACAATATTGCTCAACGACAAAGGTATTTTATTTGATGATTTTTAGAGTTTGTTTGCATCTATTTTTTTGAATATCTGATAGAATTTTTATACCGTAAATCACGTTTTCAATACTTCATTACAGAGTGTGAGTTTAAGGGAGACTCTCAAGAAATCAGAACAGATTTAGACAAATGCGGTACGACGGTATCTTATAATAACAGCCATGTCGTTTACAAAAACCAAGTAAGATGCTCTTCATTTACCGTTATATTTGTTAGTTATCAGCAGATTTTTGTCGTTTAATTACGATTAAGCTGAAGAGACGGCTGGTAGAATAAATACATTATAACTTTTAAAAAGATTATAAATCAAGTCTTGAAAATTACGTTTTTTACCTTGTAAATTTTCTTATAAATTAATTTTTCAGATGGTAGGAATTTCCAGTAAAATTGATTACAGTAACGGTATAACCAGAGGAGGAGAACTTAAGATAGCATTTGAGTGCTCATTCAATAGAACAGGTGAAATAACATGGAAATTATTGAAATTAATCTAATTCCAACAAGCTTTTATTGTCTATGAAATTTATAAAATCTGAACTGATAAAAAAGTCCATAATCTTGGTCTTTCAACACTAAGTCTCGCTTGACTGACTTAAATGTACATCTTTGTTGGGTATATTTTAATGTCGAAGCGTTTAATAAATGTTAGAATTTATTTATTATTTATTTAACTATAATTATACCTTTTTAAACATAATTCAAATTGCAATTTACGTTTTAAACGATAAAACATAGTTTGACGGACCAGTTTTGTCGGATCGAAAGTTAGATTTATAAAGAAAAAAAGCTAAAAGTTTAAAAATAAAAACTTGATAAATCTTAAATGTAACCACAATCATAGACACTTTAAGTTTAATTTTTCAGGTGATACCGAGTATGCATCTTGGGAGGTAAAGGGTGCAGCCATTGTGGAAAGAGTGACGGGTGAAGGTTCGCTACGTTTCCTTCTAGATATCTTCGAGGACGCAACATATGCCAACAAAGTGGTCAACTTTCCCTTCCAGTTAACCCTTAACGCTAACATCAACATGCAGGTCTTGTATGAAATTTGTAATCCACTGATTTTTAATACTCATCGCCAGCTACATTTTGCAACTATACCATGGAGTATAAAGACCTTGGATCAATATAAAGACCATGTATCATCTGAAATTTAAAGACTTTAAATCAATTTAGGAGTTGATTGGGATGTGTTAATTAGGATGGAATAAAATTTCGATTCTTTACCACTTTATAGCAACTTATTATATTCCCAACGGTTGTGTAAGTGTATAGTGACCACCTAAGCACTTAGAAGAATAGCTTTGATAAACTAAAACTCATAACCAGGTCACGCTGGATTCATTAGATCCAGACCAGTCTCTGGGTGTGGTCCGAATACAGGCAAAGGACAGTGAAACGGAGGAGGATGGAAACTTGTCCTACGACTTGGTGAAGGAAGGGTTAGTTCTTTAATTGGGGAGGTGGAAGTTCAGTGGCCATACGACCGCCCCCGCTACCCCCGCATAGGGGGGAGGTGAAACATGTTTAATTTTGATTGGTCAACGCTGGAAGCTGATTGGATTATTGCGGTCTCAAAGTGCCATACATTTTCATATCACACAGTAGTGAGTGCAACTGAGATAAAATAGTGATAACGATGCTGTTTTCTTTTTAGAAAGCACGAAACTATTGCTTATGACCACAATTTTAAATCTTTTTTTAAAGGTGAATGGAATTTAATTTCCATATAGCTAGATAAATATGTTGTGACCTTTGGGTTTTAATTAATTTAAATTCATTTCAGGTGCATCGTGGACTCCACCTTCAAGTTTATTGAAACGGACTCGAATTTGCAGCCTCATTCAGATCCTAAATCTAAACGATTTATCTTTAAAGCTTTTAGCTTTTTGGACAGCCAGACTCCGATTTACATTCACGCTGTTATAAAAGTCTGTAGTCTTTCGGATAACAGGTAATGGTATTATGATGCATTTATTGATTATATTCATTGATTATATTCATTGAGCTATGCAGGCAGAGAGGCATCTTCATTAAGTGTAGATGAAAGATATTTTTGTAAAACTTAACACCTTCTGTTTAAAGAATATTCAAGGCGGGCCTTCCTAAGTTAATTTTCTTCTGTCAAAATAAAATAAAATAGAACCTTTTCTATTTCGCGGGAAGTTAGCTTTAAGCTTTAAAATATGTGCATACTTCATCAATTATTTAATTATCATTATATACTCAGTACTCATTAGTATTACTCAACTGTATCCCATCCTAAAGCCGTAGTACATACATATTACATTGCAATGAAACCTACATTGAGATGAAAACTGCGATGAAATTTCGCGCATTTATACAGGCGTACGTTTATATAGACGCGGTATTTCATCGCAGTTTTCATTGCAATGTACTCAGCAAACCCTACTGGCTTGCCGTGTTACTAGAGGTGGTATAATTTAAACAGACGGCTTGAGCTCGCGCGCGAAATTTAGTGATTCGCACCGTGACGCATTCCAATCTTCAAGCAGCCAGCACATGACACAATTTAGCCAATCAGACGACAGGAATCCGCAAAGTTAAAGTTACAAACTTTTGATCGCCCCAAAATGAGACTTTTCTGGAGATTTTGAGAGAACTCAAATCTACAATGTCCCTACTTTTCCTCCTGGGGAGGTAACGTTACTTTTACAAGACGAACATTTTGCAAAAAACCGGAAGTCGCTAGCTCTTTTACTTTTGAAGTTGGACCCTAGCCAGTAAGGATTCCTGGGTAGGTTTCATCGCAATGTAATACTAATATAGTAATATGTATGTACTACGGCTTTATGACTTTATTCATAATTCATCAACACTTTCAGTTTTGGCTGTACAGACTTGTGCACAAAAAGCAGACGAAAGAGATTCGTTGAAGTATCGAGTGAACTGAATGGTGAACAGTTTCATATTTACCAAGGACCGATAGTGCCTAGACACCTTGTTGAAATCAGAGGTGAGATACAAATTGCAATTCTGATCCTGAAAATATGGACAGAAACGTGAATTAATGATGGTCAGTTCTGGTGAAGTTTTGGCGGACTTTATGATCCTATAGAGTATAATAGACTTAATTTATTTATAACTAGAAAGCCCGTGGTCACAGGAGGGAAGCTAATAGTATTCTTTGATAGCCAGTTTTAAACGCTTTAAAACAATACCATATCCATTACAACCAAAGATGCAGCCGATTAAAATATTTCTCGCACTAAACACAACGTAATTACCACAAAGCCGATCAAAATGTCGCTCGCTAATATTTGCACGTGCCCTTGCAATCACCTTAAAAGGGTACTTCGAATCTTAAGCTGCTTGCTAGCGGCTGAAACTTGCAACTAATACTTTACTAAACTCGATTATACTTGCAGAAGATTGTGTTGCGGGCCAGTTTCTGCATCAGGATAATGGCTGTACAGACTGTCCGGCAGATCATTGGAGTTTAGCAGCAAACACAGCTGCTACCTGCACTGCCTGTCCAGCTAGAAAAGAGGTAGACTCTGGAAAAGGAACACAAGAAAATGACTGCACATGGAGTAAGTTGTTGTTTCCTAAAAGGACCGAAGGGGTTCATCCTGTGAATGAAATGCAACTATTGTATTTCCTCACTCCTCACTCCTCACTCCTCACTCCTCACTCCTCACTCCTCACTCCTCACTCCTCACTCCTCACTCCTCACTCCTCACTCCTCACTCCTCACTCCTCACTCCTCACTCCTCACTCCTCACTCCTCACTCCTCACTCCTCACTCCTCACTCCTCACTCCTCACTCCTCACTCCTCACTCCTCACTCCTCACTCCTCACTCCTCACTCCTCACTCCTCACTCCTCACTCCTCACTCCTCACTCCTCACTCCTCACTCCTCACTCCTCACTCCTCACTCCTCACTCCTCACTCCTCACTCCTCACTCCTCACTCCTCACTCCTCACTCCTCACTCCTCACTCCTCACTCCTCACTCCTCACTCCTCACTCCTCACTCCTCACTCCTCACTCCTCACTCCTCACTCCTCACTCCTCACTCCTCACTCCTCACTCCTCACTCCTCACTCCTCACTCCTCACTCCTCACTCCTCACTCCTCACTCCTCACTCCTCACTCCTCACTCCTCACTCCTCACTCCTCACTCCTCACTCCTCACTCCTCACTCCTCACTCCTCACTCCTCACTCCTCACTCCTCACTCCTCACTCCTCACTCCTCACTCCTTATAGTTATAAGTTATAATATTTCAGTTCCGATGACATTTACCGAAACTTTTGTTGAAGATCAAACGTTAACACCCGATAAAACTTTAGATTAAAAATAAATACAAACTTTAAAAAGTAATTCCGCATTTACCTAAAAAATTAAGAGATTTAACATATATATTTTTAGATGAGCCGGTTTTGGGAGTTGGTGTAAAATTAGGGCCTGGAATTTTGACCATCCTGCTCCTGATGCAGGTTCTGCTGTAGCACAATAAGGTTTGTCAAGATGACGTCACACCACCTGATGCAGGTTCTGCTGTAGCACAATAAGGTTTGTCAAAATGACTATATCGTGAACTATTACTAAGCTAACGTTAGCTATCGTAAATAGACTAATGGTTATGAACTAAAAAGAGTTGTTTATTGGGAAATATTTAAATAATATTCATAATTGCAGAAAGTGAAGTGATTTTCTTTAGGTTAACAACAATTATGATTTATATCACAGTTAATTTAAACATTATATAATGAAATGACATAAAATGAGATGAAATGAAATGAGGTATTTATATCCCGCTCATATGATTAACCAACACAACAAGGAAGGTGGTTAACCATGTCAGAGCGGTTGACTGTGAGTGATGTGAGCAAATGTGTAAACGTGAACAAAGTATAACTCATCATAAGGCAAAGACAAAATTAAAACATCTTTTATTGTAAACCACACTAAACTAAATAATATTTTAACAGATATAAGTAGAGTTAAACTAAAACGAGGTTTTATAAATGTTTTTGATGTGGTGTATGGTATGTTAGTGATAGAAATAATTTATTTTCTATTTCAAACGCGCTGCATTGATTAATTAATACAACAGTGTAAACTATTATGATATATAATTGTGTATTTGACCAGTACAATTACAAAGTAAATTTATAGAGATATTACGTTTTAAAGAATGCAGCTATTTTGTTTTCCTCTGAATTCCAGGAATCTACTAATCAACTAATCAACTAATCAACTAATCAACTAATCAACTAATCAACAGCCCACTTCGATCCTATGTATTAATTTCGCCAACGCTTGGATGCCATTGGCATATCAACGGAAATTAAATCGTAACAATCTAAAAATAATAAAATCGAATTTAAAAATTAGTTTAGTAGAAGTTTAGAATTTTCTGAAAAGGTCAACAATCATAACAAAATAAACGTTTTAGTTAACAATACAAAACCATTAAAAACGTGCCATTTAAATTGTAAGGAAGATTAATTCTGACGTTTATTCGCTTGACGGTAATCTGTAGGAAACTTAAAATATGATTATGATGAACCAATCCCGGTGTTTCAAGATAATTAGGGAAATAATTTCTCGTGACTAAATAAACTCAATGAATATAAATATCAAATATGTTGTCTTAGATTAAGGCGACAGTCTCATGCCACCTAATAATAATATTTCCAAGAAAAGGCGGGGTGGATTCAACTCCTGGACAACTTAATTCAGTTAAAACTTAACAGTTAGCCACGCCCACATATTGTTAATTATCATGTTTGGCTGACAGGAATCCCATTCCTCTGACTCTTTTATTTTAGACATCAACTTATTTGCTCCACAATCGAATGTCCCGGGTTCACCTCAATTTCCAGTCCATTATTAACTTGTCCATTCTCACTAGTAGTAGTGCTCACATAATCATCAGGACTGAGTAACTCATCATCGTCTATACTTCTTGCTGGTCTTCTTGAACCCAGCTCAGCTCAGAAACCCTTATTGGCCAGGGCCTAACTTCAAAAGTAAAAAAAAAGTGGCATGCAAATTGCACCGTATGTCAAGGCGATTTTGGGTTTTTTTAACCGAATTTCGTATAATATTAACATGCTGGCGCGTATTTTGCGCAAATTTCTAAAAAACCTCCACATAACTATTCCTTATTCCCATGTCATCTTTAACATTGAATTAAAATGTTTTGAACTTAAATTATACCTGCTGAACTACTTCCGATGAGTCGTCATGCCTGAAAAACAATAAAGGGGTATAATAGTAAAGGGGGTAAATAGTATTGTAAATATAAGTGGCACGGTCATGCTTGCCAGCATTGTGATAAAGTATTAAGTAATGGTTAAGATAAGATTAAGAGTTAGAAAGAGTTGCAATACAAATTAATCGCGGTACTTAGTGGCTACTGGCTACTGCTAGTAAATTAACTATTAACGACACCTTTACCTGAGGACCCCAGGCTATTATGTTCATGAACATAAAGATTTGGCGGAATGACAGGCTGAGCGCGGCCCAGTAAACGACACCTATAATAGCGGATCATTTAAAAGTTAAAATCAACGTTTAAAAAGGTACGCAAAACGGTTTAAACCAATTACAGTCCACAAAACCTGCATAAAACATTCATCTAGCCTTGACGGATGTTACTCGTCTAAATTTCTTCGAAGTAACGCGCGCCGCTTTCTTCTTCTCCCGACGGCACGAGCTACGAAGTAGCGCGCGCCGGGCCAGATCATTAACAATGGTCAAATCTAGCCATGAGTCTACGCGTACTGCGTGACGCGCTTCCCAGTAGCAACTTGCGGTTTTTTGCAACATGTTCGTTTTGTAAAAGTAACGTCCCCGCCCGCCCCCCCCCCCCCCAGGTGGAAATTTAAAACATCGTCTTGTCTTTCCATTTCGTCAATCGTAGATTTAGAATTATTTTCAAATCTTCAGAAAAGTGCATTATTTTGGACCGATAAAAAGTTTGCAACCTAACTTTAACTTTGCAGATTTCTGTACTCTGATTGGCTGAACTGTGTCACGTGCTAGCTCAAGCTTGGACATTGAAATGCATGCGTCACTCGTGCAAATCTTGACATACGTTGCATGCCGCTTTTCGCGCGCGAAGCGCGCGCCGCCGCGAATATCTTTGATATTTGGATACGAAATATGTATCAATGCAAATGAACAATCAAGTTTAATGTCGCGCGCGAGCTCAAGCCGACAAGTTGTAGATTTATAACCTACCAAAACGCGCGCCGAGTTAGACTCGCGTCGTCGACGGTCCTGATATATGATTTGGAACAAATATTTTACGAGTATCACCCGTTAAGCCGTTTAGCCGTCCGCGCGTCGCGTCTGTTTAAATTAATTCACCTCTATAGTAACACCGCCAGCCAGTTGTAGGTTTATAACCTACCAGGCCAAGATGCGCGCCGAGTTGGACTTGTCAACGGTATTTGAAACAAATATTTGTGAATATATATCACCTGTTCGTTATTAATCAGCCAGTAACTTTTGTTGGGTAGTCTCAGAACATGCGCAACAAAAATGTTGTTATGCCATGCTAACGTGGAATTATTTGTATCACGTCATAATCCCCTGTCATTGCACGAAATGGTTTTGTGGCGAAAGCCACGAAAGACGAAGCCGCGCACTCGTGCGCGGCATGGCAGGGCTACAACGTGTAACAAAGCATTATGGACTATTTAATATTATATTATGTATCAATTTATGAAATTTTACTGGGCCGCGCTCAGCCTGTCATTCCGCCGAATTTCTATTCTCTGCTCTAAGCAGTTTAAGAAAAAGCCAGAACTTCTAATATATTTTATAAATAAAAAGAAGCAATTGCAGTTTTGGCCAGAAAGCTGTGTTGCCAAAAGATACAGCCTGACCACCTGAAAACATACATAGCAGGTCGCCTCATCCCCCTTGACAAAGACCCAGGGGTTAGACCCATTGGGATTGGTGAAGTCGTTAGAAAAATAGTCGGCAAAGCTGTGATGATCTTAACGGGTGATACTTGTAAAATATTTGTTCCAAATCGTCGACGAGTCCAACTCGGTGCGCGTCCTGGTAGGTTATAAACCTACAATGATGATCACATTGAAACAGGACATATTCATGAACACAGCTTTCATGCAACTCTGTGGTGGCCTACAAGGAGGAGTAGAAGCAGCCATTCAGGATACAAGGATACAAGGATACAAGGATACAAGGATGCAAGGATACAAAAGTGATAATTACTTTATTGAGTACACAATAGGTGGTGCTAGTTCTCCTCAGCCAAGTAAAGTGTCCGCTAACATAAATCAAATTAGCAAGGAAAGTAAAGAGATATTGGTGCTAGATAGTCCCTTTCCTTCTGCTGATATTTCATCTGCTCCAGATGTTCTATCTGAGTTGCTCTATGACACACGATTGATTGCTATGAAAACTAGCCTACTAGATTCACATAAGAAGATAACGCTAGTTTTTCCATCTTCATCTGATAGGCTGAAGGCTAAAAGTCTTATTGAAAACTCTGATGTCATTAAATTACTTGGTTTTCACATCACTCTCTCACAGAAAGCTCTCCCTAAGGTCACTGTGTCTAATATTCCCAGTCAGATATTCGAAACCATTGATCGCTCTGGTTTGCCCGCTGAAGATTTCCGGTTACAGACTAAAAAAGCTCTTCTAGATATTATTCCCTTGAAAAATCCTGGACTTAAACACTTGCTAGATAATGAGCATTTCTTTGAAATTGTGTACATAAATGTTGGACTAAGGTACACTACTGCTGGGATCAAGGTCTCTCCTCAGATCAGGAACCTATTGACAGGAGACGGCAAAATCTTCATTCTGAACAGTGCTTGTCCTGTAAAGGATAGATTCATCATCAAGCAGTGCTATAATTGTCAGAAGCTCCACCATATTTCCCAAAATTGTCCTGAGAAAGAAACTCTGGTTTGTATGTATTGCAGCGGTAGGCATAGAACATCAGACTGTCATTACAAGGAAGACCCTAGCAGACATAGATGTCGCAATTGCAGTCTGTCAAAAGATCCAAGAATCTCATCTCACTGTAACACTCACCATTCCAGCTCAGAGCAGTGCCCCATCATGCAACAGGCATTGAATCGGTATAAACAAAACATCCTTACTTCAAAAAACTAGCTACAAACTCTAAGTCAGAATGTCAGAGTATGAACTTTGCCCTGTTCAATTGCAGATCCATCTGCAATAAAACTGCTGGAGTCATGCAATTGCTTGAAGACTTTGATACTGATATTTGCTGTGCTACAGAAACTTGGCTGAGAAAAGATGACAATGCTAAGTTTTCTGAGATGAAAGAACTTGGATATTCCATTCATAGCCAGCCAAGAGCTGGGCGGGGAGGAGGTGTTGCTGTTCTATATAAGAAAAGTCTTAAAGTGACTCCTCAGAAGTGCAAGCGATTCAAAACGTTTGAGTCTTGTGAATGTACCTTCAAATCATCTTCTGGAGATATACTACGAATTGTTTCAATTTACCGTTCTGGCACCTCCACATCTCAGAGTGCTAACATCCCCCAATTTCTAACTGACTTTGAGCAACTCTTGGTTGATTTAGTAGACAAACCTGGAAAGCCCTTGATCATGGGTGACTTTAATATCCACATTGAAGACGAAAATGATTCAGTTGCACAAAGGTTTAATTCACTACTTAAGTCTTGTGGGTGGGTGCAACAAATTTCAGCTGCAACACACAGAGATGGGGGCATATTAGATCTTGTAATTACCAGGGATGGTTCTTTTACTCACGATTGCATTGAAGTTCTAGATCCTGTCATTACTGATTCTGGTACATCGTCTGACCACTACTTTGTTGCTTTCAATTGCAATGTATCTCCAGCACCCATAGGCACTCTAGAACCAATTACTTACAGAAACATTGCTTGCATAGACCTAGATGCTTTTGTTGAGGATATTCTTAAGTCAAAACTATGTGACACTGATTGCTTCAATGACCTCGATAGTGCAGTTGATATCTATGAGTCTGAGTTGAGCAGTATTTTGGACAAGCATGCTAAAGAAAAAACTTTCATCCCAAGAAAAGATCATAACGCTGAATGGTGGTCTACACACTGTCAACAAGCAAAAGCAATGAGAAGAAAGATTGAGAGACTGTATCAAAAGAATCATGATTGCCCAGATTATAAACGACTGTACAG